CTGGTGGGAGGAGCAGGGGTGGGAGGGGGGCAGAGGTCGGGTGGGGGAAAGGGGCCAAAGTGGGGTCAGCTCCCCCAACTCTGGGGCTGGCACTAGGGCAGCTATGCAGGCAGAGAGACCCCACCCACATGCTGCTTGCCCCGCACGCCTGCCACGCCTTGTCCCTTGAGGGCCCCCGCCCCTGCCCTCGGCCTGGGCCTGGCCCGTGATGGAGCCGTGCACCTGCCGCCGGGCAAGAGCAGCATCGACGCAGGCACGGGTGCCCCTCACCCCTGACCCGCAGCCCCAGGCCTGCTCCCTCCCCCACACAGCACAGCCGGGGGGGGTAGTGGCACGGTGGCGAGGCCCAGCTGCTGCTCAGGTCCCCACGGGCCCCACGTATGTGATTAGCCAGCACGGGGCTGCAATCGGCCCTGCCCCAATTCTCCCAGGTACCGCGCGCACAGGCTATATAAGGCCGCCAGGGCCTGGCCGGCCACGGGCGCGGGGCGCGGTGCAGCCCGGGGGGGGCTGGGACTGCCCAAAGAAGGAGAGGTCTGGGCAGGAATGTGGCCAGGGCGCGGGCCGGCCACCCCCGAGGCCCCCGCGCCTCGCCAGCCCAGGGTATAAAGCTGGGCGTGATGGGCCCTGCCAGTGCCCTGCACCCCGGAGCAGACGCAGCGGCTGTGAGCACCCCCAAGGTAAGTGCCCCCGGCCCAACCCAGCCCAGCCCAGTCTCACCACCCCACACGCCTGCCTGGGGCTGGGGGCCCGGAGCCCCCCGAGCTGGCCGGGGAGCTGGGCTCAGCCCACTGGACGCCAGGGCTCCTCCACGCCACGTCGGTGATGAGCCTGGGCCAGCGCCGGGGGCAGTGGAGGCTGCCCCGTCCCCCCAGCGTGGCCGGCCCTGAGCCCGGGCAGGAGCCACAGCCCCGAGAGCTGCGGGCTCGGGCCCCAGCTGTGCTTGGAGCTGTACATTGTGCCCTGCCCAGCACAGGGGCCTGGGATGGGGAGCAGAGGGGCTGTACTCGGGCACCAGGGCTGGGCCCCCCATGTAGTGGGAGGGGGTCTGAGCCCCCTGTGCCAAGGAAGGGGGGCAGGGGGTCTCTGCGCAGGCACTGATCTTGCTCTCCCCAGATGTCCAAGGCTGCTCCCAAGGCCGCCCCCGCGGCCCCCAAGGCCGCCCCTCCAGCAGCCAAGCCGGCTCCAAAGAAGGGGGCCATGGCACCCCCCCCGGGGTTCAGCCTCGACATCAACGACCCGCAGGTGCAGAACGCGGCCATCCGCATCCAGGCGTCCTACCGTGGACACAGGTCAGGGGCCTGGGGGCTCGCCTGGGCCTGGGGGGCTGGCGCCAGCCCTGGGGTGGCAAGGCCCAGGCACAGGCGGGCAGGCGGGCAGGGGGCACAGCCGCGGCCAAGGGACCCTGTGCCCCCAGGTCCCGCAAGGAGCTCAGGGAGAAGGGGCCGCCGCGAGTGCTGGAGGGGCTGAAGGACACGGTGCTGATCGAGGGCAGCGCGGCCAAGCTGTCCTGCCGCATCAGCGCCTTCCCCGACCCCTTCATCCGCTGGTCCAAGGACGGGGTGGAGCTGAAAGACGGCCCCAAGCACCGCTACATCTTCGAGGACCCCGACATCGTGGCTCTGGTGGTGCGGGACGGTGGCCTGGCCGACCTGGGCCGCTACACCGTCTCCGTCAAGAACCCCTTTGGGGAGTGCTTCGACTCCGCGCGCATCCTCGTCGAGGGTGAGCCCCGGACCCGGGACCTGCGTCCCCTGCCCCGCAGTCCCTAGTCCTGAGATCCCTGACCCCAATACCTGGTCCCTGACAACCCTGCCCCCGAGACGCCCAGCCCGTGATTCCCTGACGCTCCTGCCTCTGAGACCCCTGGCCCGCGGTCCCAAGATCCCTGACACCCCTGCTTTCAAGGCCCCCAGCCCACAGGAACCCTGAGACCCCTGCCCCCAGGTCCTTGAGACCCCATGGCCCGAGACCCTCGGCCTCCTAAGATCCCTGACGCCCCTTTCCCTGCCCCCAGAGACCCTTGAGCCCC